GGGGAAAGGGACAAGATATCCTGAGCAAATTGGGAGCATGGGGGGAGGGGAGAGGGAGCTATGAGAATGAGAAGGGGAGAGAGGAGGGGTGAGGAGGACATGAGGGAGCAGAAAGATTGAGTTGGGGAAAGAATAGAGGAGAGCAAGTTAAGAGATAATATAATAAAGGGAGCCATTATAGGTTTAAAGAGAAATCAGGCACTAGGGAAATGTCTGAAGATCTACAAAGATGACACCAACTAACAATCTAAGCATCAGAGGGGCTCCCTTAAATGCCCTCCCCTGATAATGAGATTGATGACTAACTTATATGCCATCTTATAGCCTTCATCCAGCAGCTAATGGAAGCAGAAGCAGACTCCCACAGCTAAACACTGAACTGAGCTGAACTGGAATCCAGTTGCAGAGGAGGAGGAGTGATGAGCAAAGGGGTCCAGACCAGGCTGGTGAAACCCACAGAAACAGCTGACCCGAACAAGGGGGAGCTCTTGGTCCCCAGACTGATAGCTTGTAAAACAGAATGGGATTGATCCAGCCCCCATGAAAGTGGGTGTCAGTGAAGAGGCCTTGGGAATCTGTGGGGCCTCTTGTAGTAGATCAGTACTTATCCCTAGCATAGGAATGGACTTTGGGAGCCCATCCCACATGGAATGATACTCCCTGAGCCTAGACACGAGGGGGAGGGCCTAGGCCCTATCCCAAAGGATATGACAGACTCTTAAGAACCCCTATGGAAGTCCTCACCCTCCCCAGGGAGTAGAAAGGGTATGGGATAGGTAGGGTGTTAGTAGATTGGGCAGGGAAGGAGGGGAGGGAGATAGACTTGGGATTGACATGTAAAACAAACTTGTTTCTAATTTAAGTAAAAATGGAGAAAAAAATTATCTGAGTAACATGTTCCAGCAGCACATTAAGTCAAGACAATATAAAATTATGTGAGAATTTTCTTTTATGTGGGGGCAGGAGAGGCATATTAATTATTTTTCTTCTTAAAATAAAAATACACTTTGCACTTGCCAAATAATTATGGATCATGTCCTGTGTGCTCCTTGCTCTTCCAAAGAGAGAGAAGACAGCAGACGAAAGGAAATTAAGCCCTGCCTGCATGCATGTAGCCTCTCTCTCTCTCTCATTCTCTCTCTCTTTCTCTTTCTCTTGCTCTTTCCCTCTTTTTCACTCTCTCTCTCTCTATCTTTGTCTGTCTCTCTGTTCTGTCTCTCCCTCTCTCTACTCCTTCTCCCTGTGTTTTCCTGGGTGTTGTGATATCTATTGAAGAAGGTACACAGAATTTTTAAGGAAAAAAAGAAAAGAACAAGAAAGAGAGGTAGGTGTGCTTTCAATTCTCCTGCCTGTTCTTGCTTTCGGGTCATGCCACTGGTTTTCACATCTTGTTTCTAACACTCCAGTAACTCAACAACTTGATCCACTAAAAGAAGGGGAAAGTGACTGGAAAATACATCCTTGATTATTATTAAATGTGGACCAATCTTTGGCCATTCTGGTGAATTCTGGGACTTTGTCACATAGGGAAGATGCCAGCACAGAAAATGGACTCTACCATCACCTCAGGATGCCTCAGAAGAGGAGAAGGGAGACTGTAGGGTCAAGGACATCAATTTTAATTACTTTTCCTCTTGGTGAGGACACAACACACAGCAAGAGGAACAGATCAAGTGTCCTTTCCCAGTTGTGGGTGGGAAGAAAACATCATGGCATCCCAGAATTGAAAGCCCTCAGAGAATACCATGGTAGGTTTGTAAGATGGCAGGTCTGAACATAGCCTGGAAGGCTGCACAGCTTGTTGTGAGCTCTGAAAAAGTGTGAGATCCTCTCAGGCTTCTTTAGCATGCATCATGATTTATGTTTGCTCTGTTTGTTCAAGAATTACTCTTTCATTTTGTTATAGGCCCAAATAAAATGACACTTAAGACTTTGCCCCTTGTGCAGAGGAAATACAGTTTTGGTTAGTTTAATCTGATTTCCATTTTCTGAATATTTAAATAATAATGTTCATTTCAAGAAATTCAGGACACACAGAACAGCATTTTGTGAAAATCTTCATACTGTCACTGTGGGTATTTTGATTTGCACTTGCCAATCAGGTGCTAATGTAGACATATTAGCTAATAAAATAGAATCCATAATGTTCTTACGTTTTTTATGGACTATTTAGTAATGTGATGCATTTTTTAATAAAAGTTGTTCAATGAAGTCAATACAAATTATTTCAGTTAAACCCTTTGTTTTTAGACATGAAAATCAAAGTCTGGCCTATGTGCCTGCTAACAGAAGAATAGATAAAAAAATAGATGTTGTTCAGCCATAAAGAATTAGAGCATGTACGGTGCTGGCAAATGGATGCAACTGGCAATCTCCACATGAAGTGATACAAGTTGGATGTATAAAGATGAAGATCACATGTTTTCTCTCATTTTTGGTTCTCAGAAATCTATATAGTTAAATAAACAGTACACACCATACACACAGGCACGCGCACGTGCACACACACACACACACACACACATGATGGGGGAAATACTTCTGTGTATGTTTATAAATAAAGTACTTGCTTGGCCAATGAGACAGCAGGTTAGGCTGGACTAGGAGTCAAAGAGGATTCTGGGAAATGTAGTAGAGAAGTGGTGTTGCAGACAGGAAGTGACATAGCAAAGAGATTAAGAAGAGGAAAAAGGAAATGTCGCTCTCTTTCCCCTCGGCTCCTGCTCCAGCGGCACGATGTGATCCACCAGCTAGGAGGGACGCCAATAAGGCGTCCGATAAGATAAGTCTTATAAAATATATAGATGTATGATAATTGATACTGAGCTAACAGATGAGAATCCTAGTCATTGGCCAAGCAGCATTGTAACTAATACAAGTCTCTCTGTGTATTCATTTGGGCCTAACTTGGGCAGGCGGCTGGCATAAAGCTTACACGTGGCAGTGGGGCTCAGCGGCTTTTGGCAGAAAGATTTATTGTAACATTTATCGTAACACACACACACACACACATACACATGCATATACACATATACATATATCCCACATACACACCCATGCACACAAGAAATGGAAGTGAAAGGGAGAAGACTAGTAGGATTAGAATTGGGAAAGGGAGGGGAGGGAATTCAGAGTTAATGGGAGAAGTGATACAGCCAAAATACAGGACACACTAAAACAGAGTTATCCATATGACACTCAATACTGGGTTCAATGAACATGTGCCGATAAAAATTACATAACGGGTTTCACTGTTCTCATAAACAATGCTATAATTAATATATAAATACATAGTAATTACATTGTATTCTACTACTTAATGTTAAATTCATTGATCGAGTTCTTTTTATTTGGAAGTTATTCATGCGTGTGTGTGTGTGTGTGTGTGTGTGTGTGTGTGTGTGTGTGTGCGTGTATGCCATTCTGTGTGGATAGAGAGAGACTGAGAGAATGTTAATATTTACTAGACATGAGTTAGTATGTTTAGGTAAAAAACAATTTGGTGCTGTGCTGTAAATCATAAGCATTTTCACATGAAGAAGCATCAAATACTGAGAATAAATGAGTTCTTGGAATCTTCAGGCTAACATATCTCCTTTTTCAGGCTAACAGCCTCCTTTTTTCAGATTCTTGAGCCACAAGAATTCAGAGGTCAACTTTGCGCAGTTTCCAAGTTTCTTGCCTTGACATCATCATGAAGTTGATGCTAAATAGTTGATTTTTTAGCTTAGTTTTCCTTTCCATCAGTGTATTTGGGGCATGTGTCTGTCTCAGGACACCTCTGTTCTCCAAGGGAGCTCGCAGCTGACCAACCCTTGGAACTGTGGGGCAGCTCCTCAGTCATAACATTTACTATGCAGAGCTCTGATCTCTAGGCCTTTGGGGACTGGACCTCAGTGTCCTTTCCAAGATGGTTCCTAACTCAGGCTAAGGCATTTCATGTAACACCTAGAACAGAGAAGAAACAGAGACTGAAGAAATAGAAGAACAGAGGCTGAGTCTGTCCTGGAGAAATGGAATAAGTCATAGAGGAGAGAACTGTGGCACAGGGAGGAGCAGAGAGCTGGGCACAGAACCAGTGTCATGGAGTTTGAATCTAGAACCTGCCTGTATCATTCTTTCCCAGGTTTGCTATGATAAAATCCTGCAGAGGACTTCTATGTTCAAGCTCTTGACAAAGTTCTCAGCTATAAAACAATAATATTTGTAACTAATACAGTTTTCTTGATTCTAAGGCTGAGATGAGCATGATTTAGAGCAATGTGTTCCTTTAAAAGATGCTGTAATTCAAAGATTCAGAACTGGGCTCATCATCTCCTCTAGGAACTGTGTTTAATGCAGGGTACATAGCAGGCCACCTGTTTTGCTACCATCTGCAATTGGTCATTTAAAAAACATGTATGCAAACTATAAATATACAAGTATGAAAAAGAAGGCATTTGAGCCAGAGAGGCCAGAAGAAGCCCAACCTGGGAAGGCAAAGGTAGACAGACAACAAGGGACAAGCATTGAAGAAGATGTTACACACACACACATACACACACACTCACAGATGCACACACACACAGACACATACACACACACACACACACACACACACACTCACAGATGCACACACACACAGACACACACACACACACACACACACACACACTCACTCACAGATGCGCGCGCGCACACACACACAGACACACACACACCTACACAGACACATACATACACACACACACACACACACACACACACACACTCACAGATGCACGCACACACACACACACACACCTACACAGACACATACATACACACACACCTACACACACCTACACAGACAAATACATACACACACACACTCACAGATGCACACACACACATACACACACACACATATACTCTCTCTCTCTCTCTCTCACACACACACACACACCTACACAGACACATACATACACACACACCTACACACACCTACACAGACAAATACATACACACACACACTCCTCTCTCTCTCTCTCTCTCTCTCTCTCTCACACACACACACACACACACACACACACACACACACAATCCAAGGGCCTTCCTATGCCAGGTTACTAGAGTGAGGCACATCTCTAAAGTGAACTTGGCAAAAATGTTGCATATGGTCACAGCCTGAATGCCAGGAGGTCCTATGGTCCACTGATTCTGACTTCTAGCTACCCAGGCAACATGCTGGCCATGACCACTGTGATGACTCTCCTTTTCTCCTTTTTGTTTGCTTTTTTCTCAGAAGAACGAGGCACAAGTTTCAGTCACTGAGGCAGGCTGGAAGGCACTGGAAGGAAACATCACTGTTTCGCCATTAGTCATGGAATAAGTGACTCATCATTACTTGTAACCAACGTCCTGTTTTCTGGAGATGTTAATGAGAAGTGTTGAATTTCTTCTTAGCTGCATCATAAGGCAAACAGCATTTTGTTAATGATTTAAACAACAGCAGTTAGAAGTTGGCCTCTGGTTCATGAGTTAATCAAGAAAGAGGGAAAGGCAGACTAAAGGAAATCACATATTCCATTACAAAAACAAAAAACAAAAACAAAAACAAAAAAACAACAACATAAAACCTACTAAAAGCCCAGTCATTTTAGCCATCAGGAATGTAGAGTGGCTGATATCTGACATCCCATCTGGCCTTTTTCCATTTTCTCTGTTTCAACAGCGCGAGTGAGCAACAGCTCCCTTAGTATAAAATTCACCTGTTTCATTAGATACAAGTCAGTGGTTTTAGTACCTTGTAGAGTGGTGACACCACAGTCAGACCCTAAATATAGATCATGTCTGCAACCACTCCCCCCCCACACACACACACTATGAAGACCTTTTGCCAGGGGCGGTCCCTTTCCTTCTCTTCCCCCTTCTTCTGGAAGCTTCTGGGAACCACTAACCAATTTTCCATCCCCGCTTATCTGCTTATTCTGAAGATGTCGCATCCATAGGGTGTGGTTTTCTGCCACTGTCATCTTCATGAGTGGCATAGCAGCTATCGGGTTTTTAGGACTGGCCAGATATGCAGATATCTGTGTGAGCTCTATTGTTAATGTCTGCCACCAACTCAGACTCAGAAGAAGCTGACTGAGGTGGCACAGGCCTCTAATCCCAGCACTTGGGAGCTGGAGGAGAGACAATCCTGGGTTCGAGGACAGCTGCTACTACATAGTGAGTTTGAGTCCAACCTGGGTTGCATGAAACTCTGTCTCAAAACAAATAAATAAATTGATGTAAATTAATCAATTAATTAGAGAACAAAGCTCAACATGCCATAATGAAGGGTTTGAGAGGCAGCATGTCTTTAGATAATGACTATGAATGCTTCATTGTGAGTTCAGACATCACAGACAAGCTCACTGAGCACAGAACCAAGGGTAGAGTAATAGGAGAAGTCTGTCCTGCATGTACAACACACCTACACACTGCTAGACTATATTAGTCTTAAAACTCATTCTCCCCAGAGACACTGATGCTCATCTTAGTTGTGATTAACTACTGTGGGTACCAGTATGCTTTAGGTGAGAGATGCTCATGTCAACCCTGTTACCTGCAGGGTATGAGATGTTCATGTCAGCTCTGTCATCTGGTATTTAGGGAGCACCTCTCTCCCTGGGCATTAACCCAGAGAAGTCTTATAAGTTAGCCCCACACACCTACACACTCAGCTGCATGCATTTGTTCCTAAAGTAAGTTCTGGAATATTTGGAGCCCTTCAGAGTAGTTGCTTCTGGCATACCTTATCTTCTCAGTGCCTGTGGAATGACTGACTTTTGCTCTGAGACAGTAGAGTTGGCATAAATACCACACACCCAGAGATTACAGCTACATAAAAGCAGATCTCAGGGATGTTGTAAGTCTGTCTTTTTATCTGACCGCTGGAGCTTTCATGTTTAAAGTATTTATGACTTGCTTCAGGAACAGAAGCCCTGGAGTTACTTGTTATGTAGAAAGACATATAGGAACAAATCCCCCTTGTAGAACACACACTCATATAATTAGAAATGATTACTATGAGCAAGGCACAGTGGCATATGCCTGTAAATGCCACGCTGAGAAGGCTTGGGCAGGGGAAGTGGGAATTTGTGGCCATCCTGAGCTATATGGAGACACAGATATATGGAAGTATAGTGAATCCCTGTCAGTAAAATCAAAATAAGACTGAAAGTCTTATTACTGGCTTCTTTCTCATGGCTATTTGTTAATACAGGTACAGGTTCAGTTGGCACGTTCATGCATAAAACACAATACAATCCCCCAACACATATCTGTGTATTTCATTTGCTTCATTTCACATTGGCCACTGCAAAGCCTTTTGTTATATGGAGGAATGAGGAGATAAAGATGAAAGGCACATGGACTTTGGGTCCATGTGCATATAAGTGGGCATGTTACCTAGCTAAAAGTATTTGCAGATATTTCAAAGCTAGGGTGTAAAGATGTCACACACCTGTTGAGAAGCCCTGCTGGTCAGAGATTGCAGCAGTCTACCCAATCTCAGAGCTCAAGGCAATATAAAGGCCCACCCCCTTCCCCAGCTTGCAAGGGCTTCCTGCTCTCTACTTGACCTTCCTTGGAGACTGTCCCTGAGATGGGATGCCTGACCCATCTCAGAGCAATTTTTGGCACAGCCCCTTGCAAGTGCCCTCCTCCTGCTGTCACATATGGTAATGAGGTGTGGTGCTCTAGCTAGATAGGGCTGTGCTGCCATACAGGGTAACCAGACATTGTGCTCCAGCCTTGTGGTAGGAGCCTGCTGCCAAATGCAAATAGGGTGTTGCCCCAGCCACTGCCCCATCCTCCTTCATATGTCCCCTGATATGTCCCCTCTGGAATAAAGTTGAGCTGTCTCACTGAAGCAGTCTCCTGGAAGGCTATTTTTGTCGGGCTCACAGGCTAGACAAACCCACTCTTGTTGCTTCTGCCCCCTGTGTCCTAATGGCCCACTGGCCAGTGGACTGTGGGGAAAAAGAGGGACCACTCCCACACCCATGATGATTTTAAACCTGAACAAAGAAAAGGATGGAAGACCTTATTTAAAATTATTTATATTTGCTGTTTTCAAATTGTACACGTTTTACGCCTCTCTGTGGGATTAATTCCCTTACAAAAGGACCCTAAAGGAGCTTGCAACTTCTTTCACAGTGTGTGACACCTTCCCTGAAGCAGAGCACAACCCAACATCAGAAATGGACATACACAGAACCTTCTGGAAGGAGTCACAACGCTTTTAGCTAACATCACTGACCATGGCAAAACAGGAGGCAGAAAGGTGAGAGATGTCTTCAATCTCAGGAGATGGATCTCTGAGTTGTCAAACTATTTTATAATGCAGCTGTGCTACTTTTTAGGTTAAAAGAGAGAGAAGTACTGGTTAATAAGACACCAAACCACATTGATTGAGACTGGTTGTGTTCAGCCAGAACTGTTCCCCAGAATGGCTCAGCCCTCTAAATGGAGCCAAAACTCTCTTAATCAGGACAATTAAGATGTGTTTAAACATCACTGGGTTGGGAAAAAATGGATTTTTCTAGATGCTGGTGATGTGAACAACAGAAGTCCCATTCTCTAACCAACTTACTTGAGAAAGCCTATGTCTAGATCAAAGAACAAATGATTGCAATTTAGCATCCCAATAGCTTCTTGCTGATTCAATTAACATAATGCTCATTTAACAAAGTCTACCAGTGTTATTAAGCTGCATTGATGAAACGCAGGCCAAACCCTGTCCAGGGACTTAGGCTTGGATGCTATTTCCCCCATTTCATATAAAAACAGCTCAAATGGGAGTTCTAAGATGGTCAGTGTTGGACCGACTGGCAGCGGGCCTGCAGGTCACAGGGAACAGCTCAGTGACTAGGAGGAAAATCACACTGAAATACACAACGAGAGGGACAATTTGAACACATGCAAATGTTCCCTCAGATCTGGTGACCCTACTACTTATGCTGAGCTTGACTTCTAGCAAGCTTTGGAAATTGACTAGGTGACAGTTACTGCTTTAGTGAAGGTGGCATCGTGGGATTTTCACCAGATGGGGCAATCTCCCATCTCATCACTGCTGTATTTCCCTGAAGGGTAGAAAATTAGACTCCCTTGTTTTTGACAGTTTTCAGTACAGAAAAGGAAACTAGAGAATGTGTTACCTGGGGTTATTCAAAGGAAGGCAGAGACCAGTGACAGCCAGAGGCATTCTCACCGGTAGCCGGGTCATCTGGGAAAGCGGGGAGGAGCTAGCATCATGCAGTTCAGCTCCTCTCTGCTGTCATCAATTATAGCCCAAAGGGGTGGGTGTGAACCCTCACAAGCTACGAGTTCACACTTTGTCTGAAGGGGCAGCCACTAAACAATCTGCCTCCCAGCATCCCAATCAAAGTGACTACAGCACAGCCGCTTTCAGCTCTTGACTGGATGTTTATGGCTCCCCAGTGTCATTCCATAACTGTAGCACAGCAAACAAGTTGAGCTCCGCCTGTCTCTTCCTACCCGTCCACAGCGCTGTGGCATCCTTCCTTCTCTCACTGTACCCTGACCTACAAAACCTTTCCTTCCCACTGATGTTTGCATATAATGTGCCATGGGGCTTGAAAGTCTTCCGAATGCCAGACTCTAGCTGGCAAATTTTTACCCACACTCCAATTTCAACATAGGAGCTATTTTCTTGATAAGTCTTTGTCCAAAGTGGGTCCTCCCTCCAGGCCCTACCATTGTTATCTGATGGGTATCAGATAAATAAAGACATGTGTTCTGTAAGTCCTATGAGGTCAGGGTACTAAGATCAAGAAGAAATAAAAAAGTGCTTATTGGATAGCAGGGATGTTGACAGGAAAGAGGACTGAATATGTGCCCCTGGCACTAAGATTGTACCCTGGTCAGAATATGTCACAGTATTTGCAGTAGACTAGCTTAATGGGGTGGAAGGATGTCTTGGTGGGTAAAGTGCTTGCTGAACAGGCAGGAGGACCTGAGTTGTATTCCCATATCTCATTCAAAAATCAGGGCATATACGGCATGCCCTGTAACCCCAGTATGTAGAGGTGGAAAAGGGAGGAGCTTTGGTTCTGCTGGCCATTCAGTCTAGCTAATCAGTGATCTCTAGGCTTAGTGAGAGACTGCTTCAAAGAAAATGAAGATACCAGATGTTGACCTCTGGCTTCTCCAACAAAAGCACAGATGTGCGCGCGTGCGCGCGTGCGCGCGTGCACACACACACACACACACACACACACCGAGAGAGAGAGAGAGAGAGAGAGAGAATCTACTGAAAACCTGACATTCCAATTATCCAGACCTATGAGTTTTATTTCAGAGCTGGACAAAGGCAATCCTCATCTTTCCCAAATGCAGCTCCAGGCTGAGCCGGCCAAAAGCAGTGCAGTGCAGAAACACCCATCCTAAGGTTAGTTGATTGCAACCCTCTGTGTGCTGACCCCCAGCTTCTTACTCCCTTTAGGCGCACTCCAGATAGCCGCCCACCAGCAGCTGTTCCGAGCTGGCATGAGGCATGAGAATGCTTTTCAGTCTCTAGTTCCAGTCCTCAAAACCCAAGAAGAGTTGCCATGGTGAAAGCCAATAACTGTTCAAATGAAATGCCTCCCCCCACCTCTGCCTCTAAGGCTCAGGCTGACACATCCCCCTTGGGTGGTAACACCCCACAGGCAAGTCTCTTCAGTCCCAAGGCTGTCCATATCTCAGGCAAGTCTCTCCAGTCCCAAGGCTGTCCATATCTCAGACAAATTCAGAAAAAAATTGGGAAGAAGAGGTTCAGTGACAGTGGGAAAAGCAGCAACAGAGAACAGACAGTGGAGTGAAAATTATCAGAGAACATTATGTGTGCAAGGTACTGTTTCTACCATACATAGTTACTGAGTCCTGTGTGTGTGTGTGTGTGTGTGTGTGTGTGTGTGTA